GTGTGTGTGTGTGTGTGTTTTAAAGACAGAACAAGGGACAAAATGGTTTAGCCAAACTAGAAAACACATTTTCCCAATTAGATCTCAATTGTATAAATAACGTAAATCAAATGTTCAGAATTTAAATGGATTCTGAATTTCATACGAGAGGCAACTTTTTTTCCCCCTTTCCTTCCCTTTTATCATTCTTTATGAGGACAAAGCTTTCATTATATACAATCTTCTGGATACTAAGGGAAAGGTCTCTCTGTCCCCTTCTCAGTCTGAAAGGGAGGGGGAACGAATAGACCTGCCACTGGCGGGGCTGTGGTAAGTAAAAGGCTCCTTGTCCTTTTCTTTGCTGTCATGCTTATGCTTGTGCTTGTGCTTATGCTTGTGCTTCTTCTTCTTTTTCTTGTGCTCGTGGTGATGGTGGTGATGGTGGTCACTGTGTTTGGAGGAGGTAGACTCCTTAGAAAACACTGAGAGTGGAGGTGCCACTGCTGGATGCATACTCATCTCCAAGGGTGACTGTTCTTTCCCTTCAAAATTAAAAACACACAAATTAATTCCTGTTGGTAACGAGGAAAGTAAAACTCAAGTAAAAGGGAGCTGATTCCTCTCGACCCAGATGTTGAGATTTTTAAGGAGCCTCGGTGGCACAGTGGTTAAGTGCTTGGCTGCTAACTGAAGGGTCGGTGGATCATACCCACCAGATGTTCTGTGTAAGAAAGATATGGCAGTCTGCTTCCGTAAAGATTACAGCCTTAGAAACCCTATGGAGCATTCTACTCTGTCCTATAGGGTTGCTATGAGTTGGAAATGACTTGACGTCTATAAGTCTGTTTTCTGTTTCATAGGTAAGGTTGCCATGAGTCAGTCACCTCGATGGCAACTAATAAGAGCAACAACAACAGGATATTAGCAATACCTGGAGACATTTTTTGGCTGTCACAAATAGTGGGGATGAGGAAGTGTTACTGGCATCTTGTGGGCAGAGGTCAGGAACGCTGCTAAACATCCTACAATGCACAGGACAGCCCCCACAACAAAGAATCATCACTCCCAAAATGTCAGTAATGGCAAGGCTAAGAAACCCTGCTGCACAGTAATCTAACTGCAAAGCTGATCAGACTATCTACTTAAAAACTCAGTTGGTTCTATGGACAGAATAAAACCCAGATTCTTTGGGTTTCAGTTCAGCAGTTTCCAAAAAAATTTTCTAAAAAAATCCAAACTAGCCCCCAAAACAAGAATTTTTTCCCACAAAAATAAGACTTCAATGTAGTCCTTCCCTCCTTCCTTCCTCCCTGCTTCCTCCTTCCTTCTACTAACGCCACACTGAGATATGTAAAGCCTTTCCAAAATTCTTGTGCATCTGTAAATGCTATTCCCTATGCCTGGAATGCACCTCCCTCCTTTCCTGTCTGATGCACTCACTTAACAAACATCAGGGACGGTACTGGAACTGGGGAGAGCAGTGATGAACTGTATAGATCTCAGCCCTCCTGAAGCTTACAAAACTAGCAAAGAAGAAACTGAATACATACACCTGAGTAACAAAAACACAGAGTGGAACAGGAGCACGACGGAGGGTTTAAATTAGTAGGGGAATCAGAGAGGCAGTCTTCTCTGAGGAAGAAATGTTTAAGCTGAGGCCGAAAGGAGGGGAAAGGGAAAAAAAGAACATTCTAGGCTTTTTAATAATTTAAAGCTCACCTCAAATGTCATTTCTTTGGGAAGTTTTCCCCAAACTGTCAAAAAGAATTAGTTTCTTCCTTTTCCCACAGCATCTTGTTTTTATATTCATATTAATAACAGCTAACACATAGGCCTTACTCTGTGCCAGGAAGAGTTACATAAATTTGCTGATTTAATCCTCACAACAGCTCTGTTAGATGGTACTATTATTATCATCATAAGACAGATGAGGAAAGCAGGGCAACAGAGAGATTAAGTAACAGGCCCAAAGTGATACAGCTAGTACTGGCAGATCTGAGATATAAGCCCAAAGAGTCTGACTCCAGAGTCTATACTCTTTAACACTATGCTACAGGGCCTGTCTGCATATACCATGGTGTGTACTGTACTACTATCTTCTTATCTTTGGTCTCTCCATTAGCTTGAGGACAAGGATTTTGTCTTTTTCATCTTTGTGTCCCAGTGTATAGCACAGTATCTAGCACCCCCTACAGCACCCATCAAAGTTTGCTAAATAAATTAATGAATTAATATAACAGAAGTATACAGTTGTTCTGTTTTTGTAAAATAGGATGTCAGGTGAACTCAGCCCAACTTAAAGTAATTTGAAGGTCACTGATTTTGAGGGGAAAAAGTTAAAGCACAGCTTAAAAATAAGTGGTGCTGAAGCTAGGGTGGGTCTCAAGCTCATGCATTCAACTGGTATTTACTGACAACTCTACTTCCTTTGTGCCACGCTGTTCCAATATTTTAGAACAAGTGAACAACTCAAAGTTTCCGTCTTCACAGATTATTCACATATTACTACCACAAAGTTATATTTTTATTTTAATCATGATTTTTATGAAAAGCTAACCAAATAAGTATGCAAAAGCTAAATAAAGAGATTATGTAATGAAGCAAGTTTGCGGATCTGTATCTGCTGTAGTAATTGGTCCCTAGACATGCTTCAGAAGAAAAAAAAATTTGAGATTATCTAATTTATAATTTCAGTCAAATGTGTCACTATATAGTTTTAATTAAGTTAGCATGGATATGTTGCTGATTCTACAAACATAAGAAAATAGGCCCTTACCTAACAGAATACATAGTCAGGTAATGATGAGAAGTAATAAGATATTTTAAAGCCTCATGAACAAATTCCTTTAGTTCCTATATCATTATTTGGTTATTCTACATCAACAGACTTTGCAGTTCTCCAGTTGGCTGTCTGCACTCTTGGGAGTCTGATGTCCTCTTCTGCACTGAAAGAACCCTCATTATCTAATCCTAAATACCAGCCAAGCTACGCAGATTGCAGAAAAGCCAATAATTATACTGGAACCTGCACTTCCCAGCAGAGGTGACTGCCAAATGAACAACTGAGTGTACTTGGGTGTATTCTTTTCCAAAGAACAACCACTTACAAATGTGAATTCAACCTCTTGCCTAGTGGACTTATGCTTTGCATACAAAATACATTAATTATAAATCTTTCATTTCTCTTTATTTGCGTGAAGTCAATTAACAGGACAATGGATTGGCTAGCTCCAAGAATAACAGCGTCAGGAACCAGGACTCCCAGGACAAATGGCTGATTCCAGGCGTGGGTCAGAATATTTACAAGACGAGCCAGAAACATCTGCTATAGTAGCACAGAAGTTAAAGTCATGTCAAAGGGACTCTAGAATCAATTTAAGAGGAGGCTCACTGTTCGAAGATGGGATAATTTGACTACTGATAAAGATAATAATTATAGTGGGCTGAAAACACACCAAATACGTTTAAATCCATGAGTTCATGATGCTTTTTTTAAAAAAAAAATCACCAGTGGAGAATGCTAGTCAACCAACTCATTACTTTGAAAATTATTAAATAAATAATAAACCATGTATTTTTCTTTTCCTACATGATCTATACCACTGGGTAACAGTAGGTGAGGAGAAGTTTAGTTTACAGAAATAATTCAGCTTATAAATAAGAATGGAAGGAGGAATTAGAATATCACCATTTGTAATCCCTAATGACTCAATGGATCTAGGCCCGGGGCATCTAGATCTACTAATATCATAATGAAGAGACTCAATAAGATATTTTATGCCTCCAGATGGAAGATCACACCACCACCTATAAACTTGAATCCATTTAAGCTTCTAGATATAACTACAAATTTACAGGAACTTAAATATGTTAACTACACAGTAGGTATACAATTAGCAAAATTTGCACTTGAAAACTACAGATCAAAAACCTGTTTTGTTCAATAAATTAAATGTCAGGGAGAAAAAAAGAGACAAAGAGAGAGATTAACTGGAAATGTTAGATTAAAAGAGATGTAAGGGGCATATCAGCCGATTGCAATGTGTGGACTTTACTGGACACTGATTCAGACAAATTGTTAAAAAGAAAAATACAATCTATGGCATTTATGAGTCAACTGGGAGTCCCTTAGTGGTGCCAAAGGTTAATGCGGTTGGCTGCTAACCAAAAGGTTAGAAGCCTGAGTCCACACAGAGGCACCTTGGAAGAAAAGCCTGGCAATCTACTTCTGGAAAATCAGCCACTGAAAACCCAATGGAGCACAGTTCTACTGTGACACACATGGGGTTGCCATAAGTCAGAGTCTACTTAAAGGCAACTGATTATTTGGATGAGCCAAATGAAAATTTAAACTGTGACCAGATATTTAATGATAGGAAATAATTTTTTAAGGAGTGATAATAGTATTGTGGTTAGGATTTTTAAAAGTCCTTATCTTTTAGAGATACTAAAATATTTATGAATGAAATGATAGGATGTATGGGATAGCCTTCAAAATAACTCAGGAGAGTGAGAAATGAGTAAGGGTGTTGATTAAACAAAAAGAGCCATTAAAGCGTTTCACTGCTAAATGAAAGGTTGATGGTTGAAATCCACCAGCTGCTCCATGGGAGAAAGATGTCGCAAATTTGCCTTGGAAACCCTATGGGGCAGTTCTACTCTGTCCTACAAGGTCACATTGAGTAGGAATCGACTCAATGGCAATGGGCCCCTTCTGTCTCTTGGGCTAATATTTTCCTTGTGTCTTTAATGTTCTTCATTCTCCTTTGCTCCAGGTAGGTTGAGACCAACTGATATATCTTAGATGGCCACTGGCAAGCTTTTAAGACCCCAGATGCCACTCACCAAAGCTGGAATGCCATACTCTTTGATTCAGACATTTCACATCTAGAAATTTATCTTATTAATTGCTCATGTATATGTGCAAAGACATATACACTAAGACTGACTAGAACAGTGTTAGCAGAACATCCATTAAAACTTAATGTTCATCAACAGGGACTTGATTAAATGTATCATGGCATATCCATATAACATAATACTATGGAGTCACTGGAGCCCTCATGGAGCAGCAGTTAAGAGCTACGGCTGCTAACCAAGAGGTCAGCAGTTTGATCCACCAGCCACTCCTTAGAAACTCTATAGGACAGTTCTATTCTGTCCTATGAGGTAACTATGAGTCAGAACTGACTTGACAGCAACGGGTTTCATTTGGTATGAGTCATTTAAAAAAATGACAGAGGTTTAGCTATGCTGATACATGATGTCCTTCAACATATATTGTTAACTGGTATTCAGAGCAGTGTTTTTAAAACATTTATTCATGCAAAAAATAAAAGATACATATAATTTTCTTAAAAAAAGTTGTCAGATTAAGCTAAAAGTTCCTGGAGTTTAGATTTACAGGTAACAGATGAAGATAACTAATGTTTTTAATTTTTTTTCTTAAAACGAACCAGTTTTTTTATTTTCAATCTGAAGAAAAATAATTATAAAGAAAATGTAAATCCTGATTCATTCATAATTCACTAGAAAAGGGGAG